AAGCCGTCTATCGAGATATGTGAGTTACAAAGTTTAAGCTTGCCTCAATTTAGACTAGACCAACGTTTCAAGCTCGAGATGATAGATTTAAACTGTCCATTGAATCGGGCGAGACTGAGGCTTAAACTTTTCATTGATGGAGCATCGAACGTTCTAAACGCTTAAACTGACCTCGCCCCAAATTGATTCGGAAACGTCGTCGTCTTGGCCTCCAACGAGCTATGCGCTGCCCCGTGCTTGACCCGGCCGCTGATAAATTCTTTGCGCGGGATCATATAGAACTAGCCAGCTCTAAATCTAGAGATCTGGCCATTTGGCTGCCCTCCAAGGCTCAGCTCTGTCCCGGGAAGTTCTGTTTTCTTTTTAAAAAAATCAGGATTTGGGCTTGGCCCGGTCGCTGATAAATTCTTTGTGTGGGATCATGTAAGACTAGCCAGCTCTGCTCCAAATCTAGAGATCTGGCCATTTGGCTGCCTTCCAAGGCTTAGCTATGTCCCGGGAAGGCGATCCTGTCCTGTGAGAGGGGCCAGGCCTGTTTGACGACCCTCAGGCCCAGCCTAAACAGAAGACCCACCCAAGCAAGGCCCAGCCCAGCCCAGCCCAGGCAGGTTGTCAACCAGTTGGCCAAAAAAAATCCACCCTCGCCTATGCCTGTTGGTCCAGGATCCCCTGCAAAAGTCCTGGAAAGGCTCAAGAGGGCCTGGAAATTCTCAAGCCTCCAGCTGCAAATGCGCTGAAAATCGCGAAGCCGAAGAAAAGCTTTTGTCACGAAAAGCATGACCTCCCGCTGGCCAGGCCGCCCGCTCCACGACTAGCGCCAGGACTTCTTGTTGCTTGGCGTTCAGGTTGGGCCGCTTGGCTTCCAGCCACCCGAGCTGGCCTGCCTTTGTCACAAGCGGGCGGACCGCGCTCACTCCCGGGCCCTCCTTTTGCATTGGCGCCTCCCTTGCTGGTTTCTCCCCCTTGGCACGGGAGGCCTTGGCCGCCTCCTCTAGCTCGTCGTGGTCTTCCACGGCCGGCTTGGCCGCCATGTCGGCGTAGTGTTGGGCGAAGTTCGGGTCGCCCTCGCGGGACGCGGCCGACCCGCCCCAGACTTCTTTGGACAGCTGGGACATCGGTTCCGCGCGGGCGATTCGCTGCGCCTTGGCGGTCGCGTCCTCTGGCGTCTCTGCCTCGGCCTCTTCTTCCTCTTCTTCCCCAGCTTCGCCTGGCTGCGCGGCGCCTTTAATGCGCGTGGCTTGCGCCGCCATGAGGTCTTCTTCCTCGAGCTCCATCGGTTCGTCTTCGAACTCGTTCACGCTGTTTTACCGCGGCTTTCGCTCTTTCTTTCTTTTTCCTTCTTGGTTCTCTTTTCTCTTTATTTCCTTTTTTTTTCTTGACTGTGCGCGCGCGTGTGTATGCGCGATTGCGCGCGCGCAGTCGCAACCAACGCTCAAGACGCCACTGAGTCTGTAAACACGTCAAAGACACGGCAGCAGCAAACCCCTGAGCGACAACTGTTCGCGGCATCCAGATAATGTCAGCAACATTCTCACACAGTAAAATTGAGGCGGCGCAGTAAAAAAGGAAATCACTTTCTGCCGAATCCTCGAAATGTCTAATGTTGGATTCTCCAAGCCTCATAATTTGGAGCCTGGAGTCCAACATATCCAAGTACACATTCCTTTCCAACTACGATTTTGATCCGAATTGAATTTGCGTATTGAATAGAATTTAGTAAGCACATAGTTCACCACCATTCATCATTCGCCATAATGTCTATATCAGATCAGAATTTGAGCAGGAATACCTCTCCAAATAAGGAAAATATCATTGCGGTAGAATCCAAATATACTTTAATGCAGACAAATTCAATTAGCTTTTGAACATAATAATCTAATCAAGAATCCATCCCTAAATACAACTTGAATTGGAATATAGCTTATTCTGCAAATAAATCACTTGGCCTTTGCAAACAAATTTTAATAGTAACTCATTCCCAAATATGATTTAGCTTAAATGTGGCTAAACAAATAAAGGGCACATATCCCCAGACTCCCAAACTTGGTCTGGAGATGTTTGGCATGTGCAGGTCTCAGAGCTTTCATTTTCAGGAGATTTTATGCTTTTGGGTCTGTGCAGGTTACAGAGCTCAACGCTGCCAAAAACAACATGTTTTCAATGTTTTTTTCCCTAGCGTGCTCAAAACCGCTGTAAAAACCAGTGTTTTCCAACAAAGCCAGACTTGAATCCGAAAACGGAATCCGTTTTCGCTTTGCTGCCTTTCAAGCCTCAAAGAACCAGACATCTGCTGTCATATAGAACCTAAAAACCAACAAAAACACTGGATTTTACAGTGTTTTCAGGCATTTGCAAGAAAGAGGCACACGTAGCAGAGTTGGCACCTTCAACTAGAAGAAGGCAAAGGTAGGCCCTGGGGGGGGGGTGACCATATATATATATATATACATTTGTTAATTTATATTTTATATATATATACACACGCACACGCGCGTCGTTCTCTTTTTTTTGCGCGCGATCGACGCGTGTCTAAGTCAATCACACAAACGCGCGCGCAACTATGCACTCATATCTCAAAAATCTCAAACATACAAAAACAATTAGGACGCGTCGCGTATTACATAGCGGGCCGCGCGCGTAAATGTCGCGACGGATATCCGGAGACGAGGTTCAAATCGCAACCCGGCCGCGCGACAAGGCGCTGACGAAAGCGAGGCTTAATGGCCGCCTCCACAATATTCGATCTATAACCGAGCCATTTCCGAAAACCCGTTGCGAAGGTCTTGAACTAGCAAGCGCGTCGCGATTCGCCACGCGTTGAGGCGTTTGCCTATACGTGATAACTACGAAAACGGATCGTCGCGATCGCGTCGTTTTTTAGTCATATTTATTTTCAAATGATTGCAACTCGTTTAATTATTGATATAGTTATTTTTCATTTTCTCGCTGAACTGCGCTGTGACACTTCACGCGTGTCGCGCCCTTTGACGAACCTGTAAGCGCGTCCGCCAAAGGGCGCGTCCGCGTCTGTGTTGCGATTCGTTTGAAACACGCCAGCTGAACAAACGCGCAAGAGGTTAGATCATTGTTAGTCAAAAAAGGGCCGAACACGCAGCAAACTGTTTCAATTATGGCGTGTTTCAAACTAGCCGCGGCTGCTGCGTGCCTCTTCCGACTTCGGAGGAGCCTTCAGCACGCCCACTTTGACTCGAAGCTTTCGCTTCAAGTCCTTCTCCAGCCATTTTTTGTATTTGGCTATAATGCCGCGGGCCTCGTACTGTGAGAGGGCCACTTTGCCCTCTACGCAGTCCTCCGCGGTCTTCTTCGCATGTGCCTAAGTTTGACACTGCAAATCTGTCACTCGCGTTTTAAAACCCTGAAGGGCCCTGACAAAACCAGCCGGCGCGTCCGACTCGGGCAAGGGCGGTTTCGCCCGAGTTGCCCGGGGGCCGCGCGCTCGCTCGTCTTCCCCGTCTGACGCCTAAGCGCGCGCGGCAAGCGAAGACGCGCGCTTTGTTAGCTTTACTGCGAGACTAGTCTAAGACGACGGCATAGGCCGTGTTCATCTCAAGCACTTCCTCGCCGTTGACCGAGGAAAAGCTGAAAGTTCTCTTCGCCTGCGCGCGTGCTTGCCGCGTTCGCGCCCTATGCAAAAGGACAACCGCCTCATCCGGGTGACAGTGGGTGAGGTCGTAGGTGGCACACACGTTCATAGCCAGACATTTACGGCAGTCCTAGCGGCGGGTTTGCCTCTCGCGCTCGCAACATCGCAGGGGCAGGGAGGCTAGGGTCCACTTTCCCCCCCCCTTTTCCGGCGAGCAAAATGTGTCTTTATCGCTCGCGTGGGGGGGGCGAGAGTCGGCGCTCTCGCGGTTCAACTCGAGTGTGTCTTGACTTCGTGGTTCACGGCAACGCCACACGCGCCCACGTTTGTTAACGCGGCTCGCTTTTTTTTTCACCCCCCCCCTCGCAGGTTTGTCGTCGATATCTTAGGCGTGTCTACGCGCGGCGCAGACGCGACGCGACGGCTATGAGGCGAGGCTAAGAGGCGCCATTATTTGATCGATAACCCTGGTACGGACCGTTAGACTGGAAAAGTGTCACTTTTTACTCGAGTATTGTAAAGCACGCACGCTTGACGTCTAGGCGCTACAGTGAAAACGCGCATTCGAAAAGATTCCGTTGCAGCTGCGGCATTTGCGAGCGGGGGGGGAGGGGTCGTTCCAGAGATCTACGCGGTCGTCTACCAATCCCGTCACGCGTGAGCGGCGGACTGTTGCGTTAGTCTTGGCTTCGTGTTGGTTGTTTCTGATCGGGCGCCGCCTTCGTCTGGTCACAAGGATCGCGAAATTATCGACGCACTTAAGCGGAAAGCGACGCCGCGCGTGCTATTTCGCGCGACCCGGATCGCGCAGTCACATTAGTAAGGCGCGCGCTTTACTCGGCCCCAAGGGTCTTTCCTTTTAAACGCAGTTGATTCGATTAGAACAGGCGTGGAAGTTTAAGGAGGTCGCAAAAAGTTTGCCTTATTGGCGCTCTCGTCATTGGGTTTGTGTGTCGGCTAAATTGGTTGTCGCGCGCCCCAGCCATAAGTCTGCCTGTTGGGCCGCGTAGTAACGCATGTCAACTCGCGCGCGCGAGGGCCCGAAGCTACGCGCGCAACATTTCACCCGACGCGCGCTAGGGGCATTAAAAAGGAGACTTCGCTCTCTGAGGCCCGCGCGTACCAGTATTCTCCGCGCGATTCCCGGAGCACACAGACACCGTCGCACTTCGTGCCGTCCTTCCCAGAGACTTCGTCAGAAAAAAAAAAGGCACATCCAGGGTTTCGACTTAACCTTGTTTTTTTCTTTAATCTAGACACCCTAACTCATGGCTGCGTTTCGCAAACTCTGCCACAACGGTTTGTCGCGTCTGCTCGTCGCAAGTCGCGACGCGCGCTTTTGTCAAATCTGTCTGTCACAGCTGTTTGTCACGCGCGTTCATCTGTCATGTCACCCATGTCTGTCGCAGGCCGTGTCACATCTATTAGTCAGATCTGTCTGTCGTAAGATCTTTCACATCCGTCTGCCCCCCGGCGGACTTTCTGGAGGCGAAGGTCGTGGACGAGCCCTCCAACTTCCAAGATGAGTGGCTGACGGAGGCCGAGCGACTGCGTCGGCGCCTGTGGGGCGGCGCAGCCTCTTGCGTGGCCTTTTCCTTGATGCGTGGAATGCGAGTGATCTCTCACTCGAAAATTCCAACAGCTCCGCGGTGGAGGTTGTGGATCTCAGTCATCGACTGGTGGACCCGGGCGCCCCGAAAGTCCATATCCTCTACAACGGCTCCACTCACTACGACGCCCTTGTTCGATTGGAATCGACGCTGGGGTGGGAGCCGGCGTGGCCGCAGACCGGGCGCCCGAGGTACTTCAAAGAGACGACCGCGGCGCGGCCTGTCGCTGCAAGCGGCCCGTCGCCTCGAGAGATCCAAGAGCAGAACCTCATAGGGGACTCGCTGTTCGGCGTCGAGACTGGCGACTCCTTGCGGGAGCGCGTGATTGATGTGGCAGGACGGGGGCTGTCTCAATTTAGCAGTGATTGTGCTCTGTCACATGTGTGACGGTAGGTTTATTGTTCACATTGTGATCGAGGTGAAGCTTGCATGACTGAAACCTTAATTCTCTCAATAATACGACTTTTAAGCATATTTCTATAATGGTCAGAGCTCTGTCTTGCAGTCATTCAATGTGTACTTGTGTGTGTGTGTGTGTCTGCTTCCAGTGTGCGCCTGTTCTCTTATAGTGCATGTTACGCATGCGCCTCATACTGTGATGTGACGCACCCGCGCCCGTGAAGTCTGATGTGAGTTAGTCGGTAGTGTAGGGATGTGTTTAGAGAGTGTTGTGTCAGGTGTTGTTGTGGGGGAGGTATGGAGTAGAGTAGAGAGAAGGTATAGATGTTGTGGTAAGAGACGTTCAAAGGCCAAAGTGGCCCCGGCCGGCGCCAACGGATCACTACATGATCAGTGCACGCCTACGCCACGGGCTGTGTGTGCGCGGAGACCAAGATCAGAGCAGACCCGACCCTCCCCCCCGGCCGCGCCTCGGCCGTCGAACTAGATGCCGGGGCGGTCTGGCCCCGCGCTTTCTGCGCGTTCGTGGACTGCGACTGGGCGGTCGCCGAAGGCACCGAGGCGGACCTCCAACTTCACCTCGCGGAAGCCCACAGCTGCGACCTTATGGCGGGCGCGCGGCTGCTCCTGCGACCTGGGGATCCGAGCCAGCTGATGTCGATTTACAACGAGGCCCTCGCCCGGCGCTGCCGGCAAGGCGCGCCCCTTGCGGTCCTTTGCCGCGGCCGTGGAAGGGGACAAGGTCGAGGCGCTGATCTGCGCGTCCTGCGCCTGCATCTACAGCCGCGTGGCCGAGTTTGAGGAGCAGAATGAAATTCAATGGCGCTGGATTCTAAGCCGCTGCGGCGGGGAGGAGGAGGGCGAGTGGCGGCTCTTCGGCCAGCCAGCGCCTCGCGTGGTCGAGATCCTCGGCCTGAACGCCTTTCTCGACAAGCACGACAAGCTACACTCAGAAAGAGCTGCGAGGATGTCGACCAATGAAAGCTTTGAGAACTGGAAGTTGAAGTTGCCCGGCCCCGGCGGCGCAGAAATCCTATGCTGCCCGGAAGACCGCCGCTGCGGCGCGGATCCGACCCACGTCGGCGCCGCGGGCGTCCTGTGCGAGGAGCGCGAGACGCCGGTGTGTCGGGCCTGCTTCGAGAGCCTCAAGAAGAAGAAGATGCCGCCTGTGAGCCTTGCCAATGATATGTGGGTCGGCTACTCCCCTGAGAGAATCTTCGAAGAAAAGATGACCGCGCTGGAGCTGATCTGCGCCTCTCCGTGTGTGACCACCATGGTCTGCATGTCCATGGAGGCTCGTCACAGGCACGCCTCGGCGCCCTTCGACGAGACGGCCCACATGGCCAGACACCGCTACGGCTTCCGCGGCAATCCGCTCACTTTTCCACTGCCTTGGGAAGACTTGATGCGCGAGCTCCAGAGCGTGGGAGAAGAGGCGGCGGCATTGCCGCGAGCTGGAGTGCAGCTGAGTGAGGTGGTCCGCGTGCTCTTGAAGACCAACCAACACGGCCAAACCTCAGAGGCGGAAATTAAGACCTTGATCCACCAGGCCAACGTCAGAAGAGAGGTAGCGGTCAACCTCATCCTGGACATGAAGCGCCTGGGCCACCCGTCTTTCATTGGAGCCGATGAGGACGCCGTCCGGGCCCGGGCGGCGGCCTTGCCCGAGGACGGGGCGCCGCCAGAAGTCTTACGCGTGGTCACTCTGCTGGATGGCTCGGAGAAGATCAACGACAAGCTGCTGCCGCAGAAGGCGGCGACCCCAGTGGATGGCCGCAGTGACGCGGTTGAGGCGGGAAGAATCTTCGCCGCCCAGCGGCCGCGGGGGGTCGTGGCAGAAGGCGAGCAAGCGCTGGATCTCAACCAGACGCAGATCGCCGCAATGCGGCGGCTACAAGACGAGCTGACTTCGGACGCAGAGAAAGCGCTGCGGTCCTTGGAGGTGAGAACGGGCAACCAGTTGGTGGACCAATTTCAGCCTCTTTATTTCGCGGTGGCGTTCTGCTTCTGCTTTAAGTTCGGGACAGCCCGCCCCGCCCCGACGTGAAGAATGAGGTGAAGGGGGAGGCTCGCGACAGTCGACGGGCGCCTGGGGCTCCGCAGGGGTCTTGATTCTACGTTTCGCTTCGTGCGTTCTTTTAATTCGGTTCGACCCTTTAGAGAGCTGTCGGCGTAGGTCGATATCCACGCGTGGGCCGCGGCTATGCAGCGCCGTGTGGAGTCCCAGTTTCGCCGGGGCTGGAACTTCGGCTACTCCATATGGAACTACATCTTCCGAACAGCAGTCAACCTACAGAAAAACGTCTACATGTACTCGATCCCAGACGAGTCAAATCCTGAAAGGCGCCGACCGATGACTGGCAAGGAAGTCCTCAAAGGCGCGAGTGACCTGCTGCGGGCGCTGGACAGCAAATACGCGGACGTCTCCGGCGAGCTGAAGGCCGTCAAGGGCGACTTGGCCAAAACGCGCTACTGCGTGCCCAGTCTCTCGCGCGAAGCAGTGAAAGTGCTCGACAACTTGGAGGCCAGGACGCGGAGGATCCCTGGCAAGAGGTGCGGACTACTATGCGTTTGCAAACACATGCCAACCGCGTCTGTTACGGGCTCTCCGTCTTCCTAACGTTCTCCCCCTCGGAGCGCGACACCGCGCTGATGCTCCGCCTGGCCCGGGTCCGGCAAAGCGACCCCTCCTTGCAAAGCGACAGAGACAGAAGCTTCCAATCTCGGAGCTCGCCCAAGCTAGACGAGGAGTTCTGTAGACTCTCGCCCGAGGCGCTCTTGGAGGAGCTTCCCGACTACGACGAACGCAAGACGCTCCTGGCCCGAGATCCACTGGCCTGCGCAGAAGGCTTCAGAGTTCTGGTGCTTCTGGCGCTGCGGCACCTCCTTGGAGTCCGGTTCTGCCCGCGCTGTCCAGACTGCGCGGCTTCCGACTCGCCCTGCGCTGACGCGTTTGGCAGCAACGCTACGGCGACGGGCGGCGTGCTGGGTCGGGTCGACGCCGTGTACGGCTCGATCGAGTGTCAAAAGGCCGGCTCCCTACATGGCCACTTCCAAGTCTTTGTGCAGTGCTTCCACCAACATACGCCCCTGTCGCAACTGATGAAGCTGGAAGAAGAGGGCGGCGTGAGACGACTGTTCCAGAAGTACGCGAGCTACTCTGCCCATGCGAGGCCGGGTTCGTCGTCGCTCGGGAGGGGAGGGGCGCGCGGGTCTTGTCTAGTTCCCTTCCGCTACAGGCGCAGCGTCTATTGTCGACCTGACCTATGGCAAGAAGGGCTGCGCGAGACCGTGGAAGCCGATTGGCCGGAATATAAAGATAGCAGTTTGATGCTGAGCCGGCCGGCGTATCAGACCGACGCTTCGATGAGCCCGGCCGACTGGAAAGCCCGTTTCCTGGAGGTGGATGTAGAGGAGCTACAGCAGCGCAAGCAGCAACACGTCCACCTGCCCGGCCCAGACGGGCAGCGACAGCCCTTGGCCCACTGCCAGGACGCCCGGGACCCGTCCAAATGCAAGAGCGGCTTCCCCAGAGACAAGGCTCTAGTGGATGGGACAGTCTTGGTGTGCCCCGGTCTTGGCCAGAAATTTGAGCTACCTGTCAAAGGCAAGCGGAGCTTGCTCGGGGTCTGCTGGGGCCCGGTCAACGAGCCGAACCTCAACGGGAACCACCCCGCGTTCCTCGCGGCGCTGAGATGCAACGGAGACCTGCAGCTACCCTACCGTTTCCCGATCACTACCGAGACGCACAGCGACTCGCTTTGCGAGGAGAACTGCGCGGGCAGGCAAGCCATTCGCTTGCTGATCAGAGAGGCGCAGCTGACGCAGGACCGAGCGAGTGTCGCTCTTATCGTTGAGTCGTTGATAGAGTCGATAAAGTTGAAAAAGAAAACGCCTGAGTCAATTTAGAACAAATCCTTATCGCGCAGGCGGCGCAAGCTGGATATGCCTGTGAACGCCGCGGACATCAAGGGCAAGACGATCCACAACGTCTGTGGTTTGAGCGCCGACTGGAAGGCCGTCGACCGCGCCGTCAGCAAGGAGGTGGCCAAGCGGATGGGGCTCTGGCGCTGGCTCATCATCGACGAAGTCAGCATGGTGAACGCCCGGCTCCTGGCGCAAGTGGATCAGCGCCTGCGCAGCGCGGTGCCAGACGCGGCGGCTTGGAAGCTTGACCCCGTGACTAACTCCTCCCGACCCTTCGCGGGCATCAACGTGCTCTTCACCGTCAACTGCCTCCGCCTAGCGGGGCGTACTTGGGCGACGTCCCCTACAATCGGCGCCCGCGAGCGCCCGACGACTTGACGGCCCCGGACCCCTTGGCGGACTATGGCAGGGAGCGGTTCTGGGGCGGCGCCGTCCAAGGCGTCACCGAGTTGGAGGAGCGGGAGAGATGCAAGGACGGCTGGTGGAATGCAGTTGTGGACGAGCTACGAGCCGGGCCCCTCTCGGAGCGCAACTGGAAATATCTCCATGGGCTCCCGGTGGAAGGCTGCGCCCTGTCCGACGAAGAACGGGCGTCTCGACGACGAGTCGTCGCGGGCCACAGCGACCCGCGGCTCCAGGAAGCCAAGTTCAAGCAGGCGCCAGTCATCGTCGCGAACACCGACGCCAAGTTTCAGATCAACAAAGACCGCGCGCTGCGCTATTCGAAGGAGTCGGGCGCGCCGCTGCGGTGGGCCGCCGCCGCTGACAGGCCGGGCTTGGCGATCTTGCAGACTCAGGCAGGAAGAAGGCAAAAAAAAACTTTTTAAAATAAACGTGCTTGTGTAGAACTTTAATCCAGTTTCGAGGAAGTATTGCGCCCGGCGCTCAGGCCTGCGACAAGGCGGCGAGGGTCCGTTGGCTGCAACACCATGACAGGGACACTGGAAACCTGTGTGGAATGCTACCGCTTGCCGTGGGCATGAAGGTGGCGCTGACAGAGCACTTGGACAGGTCTGAAGACAAGCTCCTTCTACGCGGCGCGACGGGGTTCGTGCATTCCTGGCGCTGGCCTCCTGGCGCGCGGCAGCCTACCCACGTCTATGTGAAGTTTCAAGGCGCGGAGTGGCAGCTCGAAGGCACGCCCGAGCCGGGCCTCTATCCGGTCACGCGGCAAACCAAGGTCTGGTTCCTGGACGGCGGCAGGCCCAAGCCCGTGCTGAGGATCTCCCGAACTCAGATCCCGCTAGTGCCGGCCTACGCCATCACTGCCCACGGGAGTCAGGGTAAGACCTTGCCGGCGGCCATGGCCGACTTCAACGTGGACAGGTGGTCGGACATCACCTTCGGAACCGTGGCCGGCAGCCGCGTGAGGCCCCTTTTTTTTTTTTTTTTAGGGAGCGGAGTAAAAACTTTTGCGCGCTCGGCGGTCGACTCAGATTCGTCGCGTCTGTTGCTCGCAGGAGCCGTGAAGATATCCTCATTTTGCGGCCGTTCCCGCTCTGGCTCTTCCAGCGGGGTGCGCCAGAGGGGCCAGAGTTGCTGCGGAAGACTCTCCGAGGTGAAAAGATTGATTGGGTCAACTACCGCGAGGCCCGCGCGCCCAGCGCGCCGTGCCAACAATGCAAAGTGGTTAAGCCTTTCGACTACTTCGCGGACGCCCAGTGGGATAAAGCCAGAGCCAACCTGCCTGCCACTTGTCTGACTTGCATTCATAAGGATGGAGGCGCCTGCAAGCGCAAACTGCCTTCCAATGTTGAGCGGCTGCGCTGCATTGGCTGCGGCTTCGAGAAAGTGGAGCACGCGTGTCCCCGAGCTCAACTTCGGCAGCCTCGTGCAGAAGAAAGGCGAAATTGCATCGCGTGTTTGAAGAACGTCTCGGAGTTGACTTGCTCGCAATGCGCAGAGGTGAAGCCGCTGAAGGAGTTCCACCTATCTGCGTTGACGCTGCCGTGGGCGGCCGCGTGTCAAAGTTGCCTGGACGCGGTGCGCGGCAAGGCTCGTCGGCTCCGGGCCGGATGGGAGAAGTGCCGAGGCTGCGCGGCTTTTCTGCCCACGTCTTCTGCCGTCTACATCAACCAACGCTGCCCCAACTGCGCGGCAGATCGCAAACGGGGCGAACGTACTTGTCTCAGATGCAAGAGGAAATGGAGCGAGAATTCGGCGGAAGAACAGA